TTACCCATATTTTTAGCGAAGCTCTGAGCCAGTAACACCTGATGTCCGGCATTAACAAAGAGGCGCACAGCGGAAGCGTCGTTGTCAATGCTGCCGGTAGCGAAGCCCTGGTACGCCATGTCGAAGAACGGGAACAATTTACGTTCGGCAATCGCCTGCAAATTATACGAAAAATGTTTAAAACCTCTCAGTTCCTCTTGTCAAGCACTCTACCACTCAGATTGTAAATAACTTAACAAAAAAACAAACAGTCGAATTGACAACCTCCTCCTTTTTTGAAGTCGGTTAAGAACGTGAATCGCGTTGGTATCGCGTTCGCGGCTGAAAGTCGCCCTGTGTAACCGCTCTTAGTACTCCAATGTTAAACTGTGGTTAAACACAATACAGCCATGTTATGTACGACGGTGGGTAAGTACGACGTTGAGTAAACGTTAACAAGTACCTGAGACAATTGTTCCCACTCGCTAGGCTTCGGGTCGACGCCAGTGGGGTTGTGCGCACACGCGTGTAACAGGATGATGGATCCTTCAGGCATTTTCTGCAACATTCAATTAAAATTGTGTTACAAGTTTTTCCCAAAGCAAGATATCCTATTTAAATAAGTATCCAACAAATTTGTTATAATCATTTAAATATTAAATTAATAACAAATAAATGACAACTTCTTTTAACTCCAATTTCGTCTATTCGAAAATGAAGTTAAAAGAGATTTCAAGAGAGACTTTAAAAATTTTTCAGAGATGTCACACTCTCTCACTTCCATTTGGTCAACGTTTTGGTAGACCAGGTAAATGAAAAGTTATGATTTAACATGTTTTTAAACGTAATATTAAGTTTATATAATGTTCTATTACCATGATATTATAATATATTTTGTGAAATTGCTCCACAAGTTAGTTATAATTTAATTAATACAAAGATCGAACACTGAGAAAAATTAATTCGATCTCTCCCGAAACTGGTTTACAGAACGAACCAGTAGACTACGAATTTTTCTATGTGGTTGGTAGATCTTTGTTTTTGGTTTTTAACGACTTTTTTGCCGTAGCGCCATGTCCGAGAAATCTATGAAAGTTTTTCTCAAGCCGGGTACCTTTAAAGCTAACAGCGGCTGACTAGAGACGTCGCTTTAATAAATAAATGTAGTTTTAAGTTTATTGAACATCACAATGTTTTACTACCATGAATACAGCCGGATCGAAGGAATATTTCTTAGTATTCGATCTTTGTATTAATAATATTTCTAACCGTTTGGTAATATTTACATAAATGTGAATTCTCTTTTGGTAAAGGTACGTATCTTCTAAAGAGATGTTTCAACAAATATTCTAAGAAAGCTTATAACTCTTTTTTTGGGGCGGTCAGCATTTTGATAGATGAAGCAAAAAAGAGTGGTAGGATAAGTTGTTTTGAATTTTGAATTCATGCATGAAACTGAATTTTGTTTTATAGATGTAAGTTTCGCCTAAAGAAATGGTTTAAAAATTCTTCGAAGATATCGGATGATCTCTTCAAATCTTATTCAGTGTTTAGCGTGTTATATAGTAGATATGTTACGATACGAATAAAAGAGACCAATGCGTTTTCTTTTGTTCCGAAAGTTCCCGAAGTTTTGTATATATGCGGGTAGCGTACTAATCTTAACTTTTTAATGAGCTGAAAGGTAAATCAATGAATTATGAACAGTTGGGAACCGCGCATAGCAAATGATTATTTTGTAATATATTAATCATAGTAGCTATCATACGGTATTTTCTAAAAGAAAATTATTGATAAATAAGAGATAATAATGATATAATGCTTCTGTTCATATACGTTATTAATCACGAATATTACACGTGATCATACGTTATCTTTAATAACTAACAACTTAAGGCGTCATCCATTATTATATAGCGCAAATTGTTTCTCCCATCTGCTTTGATTTTGTATAACGTTTAAAAAATTACATTATAGTAAGTTCTCCAATTATTACCGGGTGACGGCCGACTAAGAACATTGTACGCTGTCATTAAGTTTATTGACTATCACGATGTTTTACTATCACGATATTCTATTATTTTTTGTGAAATTACTCCACTAGTTTGTTATAATTATTAATACAAAGATCTAATACTAAGAAAAATCATTTCGTTCTCTCCGGCAACTGAGCTACAGAACGAACCAACAGACTTTATGAATTTTTCTATGTGCTTGTTGCAGGTTTTTAACGACTTTTTTTGCCGTTGCGCCATTTCTGAGAAATCTATGAAAGTTTTTCTCCAGTCAGCCGGGTACCTTCAAAGCTAACAGCGGCTGACTAGAGATGTCACTTAAATAAATAATTGTTCGACTGGATTCAATTCGATCATAGGTACGCTGTTTGCAATCTTTGCGAGTAAGTGGTTTTTATCGAATATAATTAGTGCTTTAGTACTCCGCACATACTACTAAACTCGAACTCGAAATTTGTCGACTTTTTATCATTTATAATACAATCCTGTCTAATACGAGTTAACTCTTTAAATAGGAGAAACCTAATTGACTGTAATGTAATTGACTGTTGAAGATGAAATAAACAAATTTAACTTACAGTGCCTCTCAATAATTATTTTCGGGTAGTTAATAAAAAAACGGAAAGTAAAAGAAATAATGAGCTTATTCAAAATATGAATGGGTAATCTCCAGGTTAGTTTTCTCTACCCAATTTCGGTGGCAATTTTTATTAATTAAGTATTCGAATATATTATCGTGAAATATTAAATAATATTTGACGATACCGAAGTTAGGTTTGCTTTCAGAACTTTAGTATATTATTCGGAAGAAGTTTTTTTTTCGTAGAATTGTGATTTCAACTATTGTAGTTATTTACTAAACATATTATTAATTATTTCAATATATTCTAAATTAAATTTTCAATAACTCATTTTAACGCAGCTTAGTTAGTATTACTAATAGCGTTAATTCGCTGCAATTTCATTAACCAATAAATATTTACTATTATTCCTCGATATATAGCTGGTCCTTAAAAGTTTTATGATTATAAAAAATTTTGTTAAAATAATGGCGTGTATCATTGGACCAGTATATGATGATTTGACAACTTTGAGCGGCAAATACAATACGCTTCAATATTCTTTAAACATGGAATAACATGACGTCGCAAAAGAGACAACCTATGTAATCAATTTATCCTTGTTACTATTTGCTCCTTTATTCTTGCTACTCATTGACATTACCAAAAACAAGTCTAACTAAACAAATTTAGACTATGTACATTTAAACTTAAACTATGCTTAAAATACTTACAGAAATATCTTCAAGGGCACCCTTCAAATCAAATTCGATAGTTTTGGGGTTGTAGTAGCGGTACTTGGAGTGTTTCAGACCGATCATATTGCAGATCTGTGGGTGGTTACCCCATGTCGGTGTGGATAAGAATATTTCCTTGTTTTTGGCGTAATGCTTCATTATGAACTCCATACCAAGTCGTAGAGCTCCCGTGCCAGACAGCGTCTATGATGAAAATCCATATGTTGCATATAAAGGCCATTTTTACACTTAACACAATTCATACATGTCATCACGCCTACCTCCCATCGGAGTAGGCAGAGACCATGGACCTCCACCTGTACACTTATCTGTTTATTCTTCATACTTGAATCTGATCGAGATTTACCTCTCCTAATGCCTCCATCCACATTCGCTCTGTAAATTTCTCCCATCTATCTACCAACCATCGAAGCATCCCCCTCTCTATCCTGGTCATTAATATTCATACCACAACGCTCTCTTACTACACTTTCGGCATTCTGCCTTTAAGACTAACACTGCACATATAGTCGGGGTTAGTGCAAATCCGCGTACGTAGCATTGGTAAAAGGCGCGTATCTGCACTAAACCAAATTTTACAGGAGAGGGATTTAACGTTATTACTTTGTTATTTCAATGGCTACTACTTTCATTTTTGCACAGAAAGCATTAATTTATGTTGTCTACGAACTTGTAACAATAGATTTCCGTAAATCACGCTAATTTGTTGGCCACGACATTTACGCGGAATTGATTTGGCTACTAAATTACCGAAATGGAAACTCATAATCCAATGCTAGTTACGTGTAATTGCGCTATTCCCGACGAAATGCCATTTAATAAGTGTTATTTATTTTTTTCAGCATTTTACGGTACATAATTTTTTTTAATCTTTAACATCAAAAACTCCTTGTGTTGCTATTAATGCAAAAAATCATTGACTATCGTAACAAGCCATATTTATCAGATCAACATTTTTAATCATTTAGACTATAGATTTTAAAAAGCAAACATGCAGTGGTGGATTTGCCCTAAGGCCATCCTAGGCCCGGGCCTAGGGCGGGTAGATTTTAGGGGCGGCCAATCGTGACATAAAATTCACTGATGATAACGAGAAATAGCTCAAAGTACCTACATATTTGAAAGGCTCACATACATTATGGTGGGCCGCACTGCACCACATCATGTAACAATAATCTTCCTAAATCACTTCCATACATTTTATTTATATAATATGATATCTCTAGCAGTAGGTATAGAGTACTGAGAAAGAGGCGGGTGGTACTGACCACATGGCCTTGGGCCTAGGGTGGCCAAGACTGCAAATCCGCCACTGCAAACACGACTATATATAGCAGTAAGACATTACTTGTACAGTGCAGTTGGATTTATTCTTGAGTACAGGACTACCTTCACCAAAAGCAAGTTTAGCTGCAGCATCACAGAAGGTTGGATCACCAGAAATTGGTCCATATTCATGGTTAAGACCTTTATTGTAAATTATTTCTTCAGCCTTTGGAAAAAGCAAATGAATAAAAATTAGTAAGTTCCACATTTTGTGACCTAATTTCATCAACAATTTAAATTAATTGAAATGAAACTTTAATTTCCTTTTCCTGTTATAATTAAGTATACCAAGAAAATTTAAAAAGGTTAATTTTTAAAATACCTTTACAAGCTAACAAGTTACTTTGATGTTAAAAGATGTTACTAGGGCCGCTCTTATGGGGTAGAACTTATGTCACTGTAAAAGGGAAAGTTTTCATCATTTCATGGGCAACATAATCAAAGGAGTTTCAAGTACGAAACAAACTATTGAATTTTATGTTTATTCTTCTCAGGGGAATCTGCCTTCTAAATGAGCAATGGTGCAAAGGATTGTAAAATTTCTAGTATAATTTAAGTTTTTACTTGTGAAATTACTGACCTTTTTCACACATGGAAGAATAAATGGTTTTCCGTCATCATCTCTGTATGCTCCTACACCAAGGTTCACCTTTTTGGGGTCAGGGTCTTTTTTGAAGGCCTCTGTAATACCCAGGATTACATCTGGGGGACCCATCTGCACATTGCTCCACCATGTACTAAATTGGAAAAAAAAAGTGTTCAATACAATGTTAGTTCAACATATTTACTACCTATTTGTACAAGTGTGTAAGGAAGAAATATTTTTTTTACACTTATCGTAATTTTGTTAATGTACAAGTGATTGATACCATCATACCTAATTTTATAAAATGAAGTTCCAAGGTTGACATTGGAAAAACAATTACAAAAGGATAGGAGAATGACAAGGATAAATAAAGAAAATCCACTAGTGAATAAGAACAATTTTTCCCTTTCTTAGCTGCAAGGTTAAGTGGTTTTTACAATTAATGATGATTTATAGTAACTATAAGATGAAAAATAATCAGAGTCAAACAAAAATAAAAACAGCATTAAATTTATTTCCAGTTCTACTTTTTAAATTAATTTAATAACACGAGTTAATTCCATATTTCTGCAGTTCTAAATACCATTCTTTATTTAGGAGAATTTAAAAAACCTAGAATTAAAAAAAAAATTGCTAGAATGTGCATTCTAAATTCATGCAATTTAGATACTGGTTTTAATGCCACATGTCGGCAATTTTCTTCTTTTTATGACCAGCCAGTAATATTAGAATTTATACTAAATCTATGTCTTATTGGAATTTGATTATTCTATTACTTGTAAATTAATTTCAAAATTGTAAAAAAAAACATACTTTAGAAACATAAACTCATAATCTGTTACGATATCATTACGTAAAAATAACCATAAATGCCGGGTATGAATCTCACCTTGCCGCGCGGAAGGCGAAATATCCAAGGGCTGTATCCACATTTTTCTGCTTAAACGCTAGAATGCTAGTTCTCTTAAATGCTTGACTCATTGCCGCTAATACACGCACCGCTCTGTAGTATATCGATGACTAAACGGTCCGTCTGTAACAAATTTATTTGCTTGCGCGACGAAAAGTAAAAGAACTGGAAATGCCCGAAACGCTAACCAGCAGCCACCTACAAACAGACAGTGTTGCTAAGCTAATTTTTTAAACACCCATTACCGAGAAGACGTGATGCCTACAGAATGCCTAAGACTAAGCGTCCAGTGACAGCAGCTTAAGCTAGTTTTTCTTGTTTTGACGTTTACTATTTTAGATATAACTCACTCGTAGTAATCGCTTAAATAATCTTATAAATCTTATTATTTTTAACTGCACAAAATAACTTAACGCCATGGCAATTAATTGCTTTCAAAAACATTTTAGGCTAAAAATGTTATAATTGGTTTTCTAAATATACCCATGGAAGGACTTGATAAAACGTCAGTATGCTTAAGGATGCTATGCCATACTCATGTATGTAGCTAACAAGTATAATATAAATAACGACGTAACAGGACACTAAAATTTTATTGCGACTTTGTAATAATGGGATTCTTAATAGACCTTCATGAATGGAATTCAATACACAATATATCTACTTGCAAACGCGGAATTAATATAAAATGGCAACATTTTAAAAAAGCGACATAATATGTTAAACACGTCACCCGAGTCAAAGTCGCGAAAGGTCACTCCGGTCTTATTAAAAATGTTATCTGCCTACGGTTCCGTATATTTTTGTCTCCTAAACACAAACGAAGGGAAAGATTTTAGAAAGGGAAGGGAAATATGTCTAATTTGTGCTTTAATTAAATATTGACATTGATTACAAAAACGACTTGAAATACCTTTAATCGCGGAGCGATGGCAGATTACCGAATCGCAATATTAGCAGATGTATAAAATGGCAATAGGTTACGAGAACAACGTGGATCAGACAAAAAATTGGTGGAAAAATAACTTAAAGTTAAAAGATAAAGACATGATCAGATCGAAACAAGATCATAAATTCTTTAAATCGCATGGTTTTAATTTTATCATTATATCTTGTTGCTTGCAGATAAATCCTAATGTAACTCCAACGTTTGTTTACGCGATATCTCGTCATTTAAGTACAGTACGCCAATTTCGATTAGATAATACTTTGACGCAGGGCTAAACTATTGTTTACAACTTTTTTAATTAAACCACAAAGATACTTAGGCACTTTTATGTAATTAAAATAAGAAAGCTTATACAGGGTGAATTATAATATTAATAATGCACACTAAGTGTATTATTATATTAAATAATAAGTAATATATCACTGTAAACTTTTTAATTATTATAATATCTTATCTTTGGACCTTAGTTCCCGGGTTAATGTAGAAACTAATTATAGGGCTTAGTATTGTAGGGCTTAGTTCGATCGCCGGCCGGGTTAATGTAGAAACTAATTTTTCTATATCGTCTCGGGTCTGGGTCTGGGTGTTCGCGATACCGTGCGTCGTTGTTTACGATTTCCATAAGTCAAAAAGTTCTTTAATTACTTATTTTGGGATAAGAGCAACGTATGTGATGTTGTCTATTAATTATCATTTTTAAATTAAATATTTATTTCATAAGGTTAGTAAATGGTACTTACCCAAATATTTACTTAATCATTATTATCCACAGCCCGACTTCACACACTGCTGAGTATAGGGCTTTCGTATCGTATGATTTCATTTATATCACGATCTTGCGCCAATTTCACCCATCTACGTCCTTTACTTATTACTTAGTTTGTGTATTGGTGATAAAATAATACATAATAATTATTATATTGTTATATTTATTATTGTGTTACTTATAGGTCAAAGGGATTGGTTTAATTTATTTGCACACTCAGTTTGAATTGCCCTATTTCTTCAAAATTGCATTGCTTTGTTTTGTATAACTGAATTAGGGGTTTTTTAGCATTTACTTTCCACTTGCTATATTATAGGCAGGTAGATAAAACTTATGGTTTGGTTAGCAATTTTTAAATGTTTTTATTATTATTTTGTCATTGTGTCGTTCAAGGAAGACGTGGTGTATGGGTATAGGAAATTTGGTTTGTTTATTATAACGGAAATATTACAATATTTTGACTGATTTTGACTTCAGCATTTGACGTAACATGTCACTTTGTAGACCCAACAGCTTTGGATGCGTATTTTGCAAATCTCTGGACAAATTAAAAAACGATATAAAATAAAATGGTGCGTACATAGGTTTTGTAACTTGGCGAAGTAATCTTAGCTAAAATAATATATATTTCTGAGTAGAAGTAGAAACGGACTACCATCAGATATTTTAATTACCTTAACCCAACCCGCCCTGACTGACAACTAACAAGTTGCCCAATGGCCAGCGTGGCGGACTGTGGCCTAAACCTTCGCCTGAGAGGAGACCCGTGCCCAGTAGTGGGACGTGTAAATGGGATGGTGATGATGAATAATAACTTTTATGCTTCTGCATTCGAAGAATACGGCCATGAGTACATCTCCTTAGAAGATGGTTTGTAAGTGGTGGTAAATGGTTTCTATAGTCTAAGGGTCGTATTCCAGAACTCTACTCAATACTCAAGTCAGAACTTGAGTATTGCAGTGAGCACTGAAAATCATACTCAAGTCCTTGCCATTAGGGTCGTATTTCCAGTGCTTGAAATCATACTCAAGTCTGCTCAAATCCTGACTTGAGGGTTGAGTATAGTTCTAGAATACGACCCTAAGACATCTACCCACTTGCGAAGGTATGACACATGACAGAGACATGTAAAAATCATTACGTACCTACATTTTCTTTTAATTTTGCCACCTTGATTACAAAACAATACTAGCGTGAAACATAACGCCCCCGGCGTTATATTAGTTCTTAATTTATAACTTCATCTGATTGATATCAGATGAAGTTACATATATGTATATAAACTGAATAGAAACTGATGTATCGTCTACAGTGTGATTTCAACAAACAATTTGTTCATGATGACAACAATTTAATGTTCACAAATTTTATATTGTTGAAGAAGGTTAAATGTTTTTAATAGAGCAAACCTTTTTAGTATGTGCGTTCCTTTGTAATTCAAATTTAATTATGTTTTTGAGTCATTGTTTTTTCTATGACATTATACTTTTGCCTGCAGTCCTCAATAAATGTGTTCCGATATATGTTCTTACAAGTTAGGTAGATCTATTTTATTGTTTCTAATCCGAATGTCCTAGATCTCTGTGAGGTATCCATATACTCTGGATTTATTATTATTGTATGTACTCACACACCCACATATATATTATTGTATGTGGTTTCGCATTAAAAATAAAAAAATCGGTATAGGCCTAATTTATTGCTGAACCAATGACTTTGCGATTCATGTCTAGCTAGGTTAAAGCACTGGAATAAGGTTATGGTATTATCATGGACCAATAACTCAAGAGGACTGCTAATCGTCATACAAGATAGCGTAGCCGGGTATTTAGTACCTATTGGTACACTAGATGTCGCGACGATTACCAAATAGCTATTTTGTAACGTTATTTTACATTGACACATTGATTCTATCAAATCTGCTTCTAGTGATAACAAACACGTCAACTAGATGGCGCTATATTTTACCTCAAAATGGATATGCACCTGGAGTCGTATATAAATACATTGTAAAAAAAAACAATCGCAACTCACAACGTTTCCATCCTCTAAATAATAACTAGAACACTACTTTGTCTATTCTAATGCCATTTAGACATATTGATAGTTTAGCTTAAAATTATTCATATTTCAATGTTACTGGGTGTAAGAAGCGAGAAAAAACAATGGCTACGATGATTTTAGGCTGAGAACACCGAACGTGCGAAATAATATTTTTTAATTTTATTTGTAATTCCAAGAAGTATGATATCGCAGATATTGCATTGGTCCCAAAGGGTCATTTCGGAACGCCACACAGTGGGCCCAAATTGATAATTCTTGGACATAGGAATAACTTGTAGAGTATCGAGCAAATTTTTTTTATGTGATATATAATAACATTCCTAACAACTTTTATTCTTGTATGATTTCTTGAAAAGTTGATAGATTCAGAGAAAAAAAAATTTTTGTATGGACAAATATACATTTTATTTTTTATCTCAAAATATACGAAAATCTAATGTGCGTGGGTTACTTACAGTATAGTTCCCATCATTTTCTATGTAGAAAAAAATAATCCGTCT